CATCACAAAAGTTCTATTGTCATATACCCATCTTCTGACGGCATTGTTTATTAAACTCCTTTAGTACATCACAAAGTCGTCCCCTATTCGTTCTCTCGCGCAAAATGCGAGTGACGTCCTCCTTTTGTAACACAGCAGCGAGATTCTTTTGATTCTCTAGTCCGACGCGTAACCACTGCGCAGTCCATTCCGGACACGTTTTGTTCAATGCTAACAGAACTTCGGCGTGAGGCTCCAAGTTATTATGAGGCATTGCTCCACCTAATAGAAATTAAAAAATAAACAAAGAAAAAAAATTAATTAATTAAGAAATAAATTGATTGAATGTTTTCACATTTGCAGACATCCTGAAGTCTTCTACTTACCGACACAATGCAAAATCGCAGCGACAAGTTCCTGTCCAATTGGTTGAATGAATGTTTGCAGGTGCGGACTCTGCACAATCGCATGACTAAGAAAATATCCGGCTGCTTTGGCTGTAGCTGTCTCTGGAAGCGTTAGACAAGCAATCCCTGTAAAAAGAAATATAATTACATTGTATGATGATTTTCATATTTCCATGGAAACATATGATGATGTTGCGCTTACCGCATTGCAACATATCTGGGATTTGATCTGGGATTTGCAACAATAACCGGGCATTTTTCTTACAGATCTGTGCTAGTACGCCCATGTACGCTTCCATCAAGTCCGACCACTCGGACAGGTCGCCCTGCACTGATCTGCATACTTTCACACCGTTCAACGTTAACGAGCTCATTTCTGCGAGCACCGGACTCACAACATTGTCCGGATCTCTGCCGAACAGTAGCACGAGTTGTTTTAACAGATTCAATGCAGCTGGATGCGGCCAGATCTTATAGGAGGTCGACAAGATTGATAACAAAGGTCGTGCCTCAATCTCCGGCTGTCGTAAAGCCGCCACGGATCGTTGCGCGCACATGTGCATTGCCTCCAGCGTGGCGTTGTCCTGGCTCCACTCAGGATGTGTGATGATCTGATTGAATACCGGCAGCACGCCGTCCAGTACGGCCTTGCCGATCGCACCATCGATCGTGCTAAAGAACATGGTGGCCATCTTCAGATAATTCGTCACACCAAGCCGTGCTGTAAACAACGGCTGTCCCAACAACTCCTTGATCTTTGTCACACACAATCCCAGCGTTGCCTCCAGATGCAAAAGTTGCTCCTCCATAGAAGGCAATGCATTAAGTAATTTTCCAGCCGCATACATGAGTCGCAAACCTTCTCCACCACCAGGCTCAACATTCGGTAGCGTCTGACTGATAGTGTGAAGAATGGATGGCGCATAAGGGCCAAGATACGGCCCGCACTCCCTTGTCAGATCTTTCAGTGCCATACTCGCAAACGGTGCTGTCATAGATCCCCTGGTCAATCCCTGAGTAACGAGGTGTAAGACTTTTTCTAGCCAAGGCTCAGGATGCTCCCCTATCCATTCAGCGTATGCGCCCAGTGTTGAACAGGCACAAATTAGTACCTGGTGACAAAATAAATTAAATACTTATATTATTACACAAATATATCTTTTTAGAAAAAAATCATCAAGCTAGCTAGAAATAAATTATATTTAGAGATGTTTGGAAGGAGAAGTATGTGATTTGTAATTAATCATTATTTCTAAGAATGATCGTATATACCTCTTCGGGATAAAGATGATAAGGTATGTGAATGATAATCAAGTTTATCAGCGCAGGGATGTAACAATATTCCTGAGTACCGACGCTCTCGGATAGAGCTTTGAAGGCATGTAACGTTGATTCTATGTGGGTCCATGGTGAATCTTCCAAGCTCAATTTTTGCCCGAGAAGTGCTAGCAAATCACTGCCGAGAACACTGTAACAATAGTCCAATGTGTCCGCCACGTCCTGTCTGTAACATCTGAAGAGCTCGCGCTCGTCCGCGTTCCCTCTTTCGCTCGGAGATGTGGGCAGCGTTGATTTTCTCAGCAATGCCTGGGCCAATCGGAAATAAATCGGCTTCAACGCTTCCAAAGCTCGGTTATCTAACGGTTGATCTAACGTAGCAAGATCGTCCTGTAACGCGTACCAAAATCCAAACGGGATACAGCTGCGCGTTTCATCGGTAGGATAACGTCCTTCCAGTTCCGAACACTCCAATAATAGCTCGATCAATCCCATGGCCGTCCATGTATGTGCCTCGTTGGAATTCTCAGCCAGAGCAACCAGAAACGCTCGACTGTGAGCCTCTCCGATGGCGGTTAATATCTCGCAAAAGTATTTTCTATTGTACTGCTTCGCTAACAATACTAAACTCCTGGCCCATTCCCAGAATGTTTGCGGCCGTTTATGAAGCTCGTAGTGTGTTACGATCATAATTAAACAATCTTGTACTATATCCCAGCTCTTGAGGTTATTATAATTGCCATGATTCTCGTCTCTAACGAAAGGAATTGATATTTTCTTTAATAATTCAATAATCCGCATCTATTATATCATTTTCTTTATTGCAAATTAAATTTAATTGCTGATCTGGTTTAACATATATTAAATAATTGATAGATTATATAAAAGCCTATTTAATTATTTGTAATTGTTTACCAAGTAATACAAAAGACTTATTATCGCTTAACAAAACTTTGTAAAGATGCATAAGAGAATTTTCTCATATTTTATAACTCAAAATATAATTTATTTTCTTACTAATATTTTATTTAAAAACTTTTCTCTAGTATTTAACTTTTTATCAGTGTAAGATTTTTTTGTGAAATTTTATCTTTTTAATCATCTTGACCCAAACGATATAATCGTATAATATATTTGAACACAGCAAAATTGACGATATTATTGTTTTTTCAATAAAACTTACTTATTATTAGATTATTACTTACTTATTAGGTGCATAGTGACCTGCAGCCACTAATAAATAAGGATAGATTTGGCCGCTAGTCTCTAAAGGTAATTGGCCGATCTTAAGCCATAATTGAGCGCATTCCAGTCCCAAGGAATATAATATACCATCGTTGCCTTGAGAATCTGGGTTACACATTGAAAAAACCTGCTGCAAAAACCAGGCAGTTTGGCACCAGCTGTTGATCAGGTTGACAAGAGCTTCCCGCAGTTTGGCATTCTTTGCTTCGTGTCTCTTTTGATACTGAAATTAATCACAAGTTTATTGATTTGAACTCATTAAAAAGCAAAGATTAAATAGCTCTACTTGTATACATTTTATATTTTACCTCAACAGGAAGCGTTGAGAGCACTCGAAGCAATAATTCTAATGCAGACGGGGAATCATAAGGTAAAATGTCGAGCAATTCGTCGACTATACTCCTATCATGTTCCCTGTTTTCTACACTGTAAACGTTGGCCACAAATGCGGCTAACTGAAATCAGCATATATTATTAAACAATTACTAAATTGTATGAATTCCAATACAACAGAATTCTAAATGATATTCTATGGACATTCAGAAGACATTTTATGTCCTAAGGACGTCCCTTGGACGTCCCAGTTAAGTGTTATGTAAAAACTCAATAAGTACATAATATTCCTAGAATGTTATAAGAATGTTACTTATCACTTTTAATATTCATACAACATTCTAGAAATAGTGTATTATAGGAAAACTCCATTAAATTATTTACAGTATGTCCTTTTTTTTCTTCAAATAACAAAGAAGAATATATTACCGCTTGACAAAGCTTTGTAAGGATGCATAAGGGTATGTTAGGTCTTTTCACACTATTGAGCAAACGTTCCCTTAACACCGGATACTCCGCTTCAGGCACTTCATTCCATTGCTTGGATATCTTGGCATGCAGAGTAGTTGCCGCAAAAAATTGCACCTCATATGACTGTAAAGATAAGGCTTTATCATCAAAGAAAAAGAAAAAGATAATAAAATCCATATCGTGTTCAAACTATTTGTCATATATTTTTACAAATTGTACAAAAAATTATATGATATGATTTATTATCAAAATATTTCTACAATTACTTTAAAGTTCAAGAGCAATGTGAAGACAATCATTTTACTACTATAATTGTAATACTTTTGGAGTGAAAAAACCAGTGAAAAAACATTATGAGTCGCAAGAGAAACACATGTAAGAAAACTGATCAGAAGTTTCGCAAAATACAGAGAAAGAAAGACTAGAATGCTTTCCATCTACAACACAAGTTGACACAGATATCATTCTATTTTTCTTGATATTCAACGAGTAACAAAGACAGAAATGATACTTGTGTCACCAAATGGAAAGCAGCCCTGGCTGGCGTAAGTACCTTGGAAGGATCTAGTAGTTGCCACACGAAGTGCCAGGCCTCGGGCGAGGTTTGCACTTGCAGAAGCCACGAGTGCGCCTCGTTGCTGCCCGCTGAATAAAATTGCCTGACCGCATCGTCAACGATCGTTGCATAATCCATACCAGGTGCTTCGTGCAACACGTTTGCTTTGATAGATTCTTCTTATTAGGGCAGGTCGTACACGAAGACCAACACGATGGCTGGAACTTCGTGATTGACGTTCGTACATCTAACACGTCCCACCGATCGTACGTTCTTACGGTCTTTTATCATTTTACTCTTCCGAAAATTCGATTAGGCGCAAATATTTTCCATCTGTACAGTAACACACAACCTAATCTAACCTGATCCTCATCTAACCTGATTCTCATTCTTCCTCTTCTTTTTCTTCATCGGTAGATGGCTCCATCTGACTGATTCGTTTCCGTCTCCTTTCTTCTTCGGAGTCAGAAGGTCTGTTCTTTTTCGAAGAATTTTATCTTACTTCAACTTATCCAGTTCAGAACTTGGGGTTGAAACAGAACAGATCTACAGAGTTTTCTGCGCAGATGCTCGGTGCTCGACGCTTGCCGCTTGCATCAGCTTGCATGACGCTTATTTGCCGATTAGTCCACTATGTGATGAGTGATTAGTCAATCAAATGTTTTAAAAGCAGTATTGTAATTTATAGATTGCAGTGAGATCAAGTGAGTTTTTGATCGTACTTGGTTATATTCAGCTATCTAAAAAAACGATTGTAACGAAAATGAATCGAAAGCCAGCTACATGGTTAATGAAGCATTGCAAAAAAATTATAAAATCTGATGGTGTTTATTTAAAATGTGAATGCTGTACAGAAAATTCATACGATGTTTTCTTCGATGATCATAATCTAATGATATTACATTTATATGAGAAGCATCATATATCAGAACTAACCAAATATCGACATCGTGAACTTCTAGAGGAATGTTTTGATATTAAACGTTTATCACAATGTGAAATTGGAATATGTCATGTAGGCAGTTGTCGAAGAATGACTATTTGTCATAATAGTAATGCCTTCCCTTTACTAAGTCATTTGGTCATGTATCACACACATAGAGAAAAATTTAGAAAAGCAACGAGTATTGAAGTTGGACGGCAAATACTGATGAATTATTTCATATTAAATACCACAGCAAAATGCTCATTTTGTTGGAAATACTTATCCTTGGAAGGCTTAGAATCAGATCCTGCTGAAGTACTGATGTCCTTAAGTACTCACTGGAACAATCATTATAAGTATAAAAAATAAATTTTTTTATATCTTCCAAAACGCAAATTAAAAATATGAGTGATATCTGTTTTTTATTGTTGTACTCTGAACCGATGCAATAAGTTGAAATGCATATTTGTTTTACTCCAACTTTTGCATTGTGTGTATCAGTTCAGAAAGTGTAGCAATAAAAAACAGACTTATTATTTTATGCATTTTGTTTGTTTTGTTTTAACAATTTCATAATAATTCAAAAAATATAGATGACGTGATTAGAATTGTAATTGCAAACATATATTTTCATGAAATTGTAAATTGATATATGTAAAATAACTATCCTGATATATAGATGCTCTTAGATAAGAAAAAGCTATTTTCACTATCATAAGTATATATGAGTACATATATATTTATATATCTAATGAGATTTCACTATGTTATCACAATTTTTTGTAATTAATTTTTATTAAATATTTTGATAATCAGCATTATTATGTGATTAATATTATATTGATATGTATATTCTATGCCGGTCACTGGTAATCTACACATCGTAGTGGAAAAATTGGTGTGGCACGGAATGTATCATAAAATAGCTGATATAAAACAAAAATTAAACTCACTATTAAACGATATTATGGATTTTGCAGAATTGCTCCTGATCGACCAAATAAAGTGTCCATACAAGCAGAATTACAAAAAGCAGAAGAAAAATTAAAAAGACGGAGAAATCATGATTTAGAAATTAAAAAAATATATTCTGCAAGTAGACTTGTGGATGATATTGAAAAAAAATGCGTTCGACCTAAGCTAATGAGGGATTATAAAATGACGTATGTGTCAGATTTTGTAGGACAATGTACAATTTGTTTAGAAAATGTTATATACAATGGCAGCGATTATCTTATAAAAAATCATTGGGAAATGAATCATGGATCTAAATCTAACATATATAAAGATGTAATACAAAAAAGAGAAGTACGTCAAGTATTAAATAAGTACCAGATAGACGGAAGCATGGCAAAGTGCTTCAAATGTGATGCAGAAATGGACTTGGAAGAAAACATTAAAACAAAACTGATCCCATTACTTTTACATTGGCACACAGGATTTCATAGTAGGTATGAAAAAAAGTAGAGTTTATACTTGCCAAAATGAGCGAAAGTCGATTTTGTTTCACTTGTTTTGTTTCTATAATTGCATGATAATCTGAAAATAGAAACAATATTACGTCTAGAATTCGTTTAAATTATTTTCCATTTTATTACTTTGACAATAAGAAGAAACATAATTATAAAATAGTTTCTGATATATTATACATAGATATGTATAATTATAATACATATATAATGCAATATTAGTATATTGGATTTTCTTCTTTATCTAGTTTAGGAATAAAACGGAAGAAAAGACAATTAAAAAATCTACGACAAAAATTGAGAATAGGAGACACAGTGAAAAATATAGAAGAAACATGGCAAAACTTTATCTGGCAATTACTCGAGAGTCGGGAAGAACGTGCTCCTAATAAGTAATTATTCATTTGTATTTGATATCAAATGAATATGAGAATTAAATATTAACTTTTTTCGATAAAAATATTTATATTAAGAAAAAATATAATCATTTGTATTATACTAAAATTCATATTTCAGATCTTAGATTAGATTATTTACTTTTATACCTATTTAGCTACAAATAGATAGATAGATGGAGATATATATATATATATATACATTGAATCTTAAAAATGACAATTTTGATAATAATTGAGTGAAATGCATACTTCTAATTAAAATACTAAATATTCCATAACATTTTCTATTGTTTATAAACGTAATAATTTCTATTTTTTTCTTTTTTTTTTTTTTTAATGATATGTAAATACAGTCCTGGACCGAGCACTTTGAAGGATGATGAGATTGTAAGAATAAGAGTGGCAAAACAAAGCAAAATACGAAATATTACGACAAAGAATTCTTCAATCTCTACACCATCCAAACGGAGGAAAAGAAATTAGGAGAAGAAATTAAAACAATAATGCTGGTAATTATTCGCTTTGTTTACATTACACAAGTTTATATCACGTAAAGATTAATTACGTAACTTTTTGTCTAACCCATAAATGTGAACAATTCTTTTTCATTGAAGTTAGAAAAATTTTTCATTTCTCACATTTTGTATCATATGGAAAAAGATATACGATAATAGAAGAATTTTCTAATCAATTTAATCAATTTCGATCTAATCAATTTTCTAATCAATTTTCTAATCGAAGCGACCACACGCAATTGATGCTATAAGAAATACAGAGTGAATATTTAAAATTTAATTTGATTCCCCCTTATTAAAGTACCTTTGTGCGGTGTTCAATTTACACTCTTACTTGCAACGGCTCTGAAAAGGATAATAATTAATAATCTAATGAAATGTGTGCAATTAAAATATTTTACAAAATTATGCTATTATATTACAAATACTCTTTTTATATATTTATCATTTTTTTACAGATTCAAATTCAATTGAATAGACAGCATCATGATGAATTCTGATGACTATGAAAGCGTTGTACAGAAAAGAAGCATCTCCATATTTGGTTGGGAAGGTTTATCAAAGAGAAGAATAATTCTGATAAGCTATTATAAGATCATAAAAATCAAATTATCTTTTTTATAAATATAATCTATATTAAAATAAATAAATATATCTATATTATATAAAATGTATTTTATTAATAATTTTATTAATAATTTTTTCAAACGCAAGGAAATATTTAGTTTGCAAAATATAATTTTATTTTTGTTTTATTGGCATTAATATTACCAAAGATGATCATATGGAAGAATTTAGATAACTAGCTTATAATAGAGAAAAAGTAATGTAGAACTCTACTTATATTGTGGCATCTATTTTAAATTCTGTTATAATTAATATGTCTTGCAAAGGTCTTTAACTTATTCTTAACTCAAAATTATGAAATAATTATCGCTACAACTGGTGCGACTTTTTTATTGACAATTGATGTTTATGTTTATATTACATCAACATTTTTTCATATGATATTTTCAATATCGAGTTTAATGTAGTTTAAAGTTCAGTAAGAGTAAGTTGAGTAAGATTATATCTTAAATAAATTCTTAAGTCTCTGTTCTTTTATTTTATAAAGATAAATAAACTTGAATAATTCATTTTAAAGTATGAACAGATGTGCAAATTAACAAGTTTCGTCGAATCCATCATATTGCGGATAATTGCTGCATTGAACGGAATGTAACTTAGGGCCTGAAATAGGATTTGCAACATAATAAGGAAACGTCAGCATTCCGTTACACGCTGCTCCGTATTCTCCTTTGTTGTTCAACGCGATCACTCCGCCGAAGAAGTTAGTATAATGCTGGGCGATTCTGCTTATTGCCTTCTTAGCAGCAATGTTCGGCGCCGCACCATTACGCATTTCTTCTATCGCTAGAAAGCTGCAAAAAATACTCAATTTCAACAACTGTGCTAACAATTGCTAAGATACAACATATTATATTAGACATTAATTTTATTTATTCAACAAATTAAAAATTAAAGTAGGAGAATTAAGACCAAAATAGAATGCATACAAATTTATATTTTAGTTTATTAAAATGTACCTAGAAAAAATATATTTATACTGAACATTTTCCAACAAGAGACAAATGACACAGTATAATAGACTCATAACATTCTTGTTTGCTATTGTTAAACAAAAATAAAACGATCAATGTGTTACACTGTGTCTTTCGCTGGAAAGACAATTAATACATAACATTACCTCGGCAAAAATCGCATCATAATATCTCCGTCACCAGTACTGGCAGCTGCACCAACATCCTGATCGGCATATGCGCCAGCTCCTGCAATAGGAGAATCCCCAACGCGACCTGGTATCTTATACTTGGCGCCATTTGTGGATGTTCCAGCTGCTACTCGTCTCTGTGAGTCTATTGCGAGTATACCGATCGTGTCATGATTTTTCTCGCTTCCCGTTAACATGTTTTCGTCATCTTCTATGTTGCTCGGGTGATATGGTCCACAGCTACTTGTTGGATTTGGTATCACATTCTAAATATTATATATACAGCAAAAATATCATAGAAATAATCATAAAATGAAATGTATTGAAAGAATATGACCTCTCTCTCAATACCTTCCAAAAGTTGGGTTGACATTTATTTGCCTTCCACTGTGCCCACATCTCCTTGGACTCATTCGTTTGCAAAGATTCCTGCTTGAATCCCATATTCACAGCAAAATCTGTAGCCAAGCTCCCAACTAATAAGGAATGCTTTGTGTGTTCCAACACCTTGCGAGCAACCGAAATGGCATTCTTCACATTCCGTAGTCCTCCTACTCCTCCTACATTCATCTTTGTTCTATAAAAAAAATATCTTTCTTGAATATATCATTAGTATATTAATGAAACAAGAAAGCTGCTTTTTTTATTGCTTCAATTGCCTTTACCCGTCCATAATCATAGCATCTAGTGTAGTTTCTCCAGATTCATCTGGACTACCACCAAATCCCACCGTCTTTCTGCATTGTTGCTCCTCGCACAGGGAACATCCTTCTTCTATCGCGTCCAGAGCACTTTTCTTCTGATTATGTATTACATCCCATGCTTAAATAATAAGTAACAGTATCTTTAAATTAGCAGAGAGCTGCATATCTTTCTCACTCGATAAGTTGATGCAGTTAAATATCTCAAATATCTCAAATATACCTTTTTTCATTGCATCTTTGTAATTCCAGGTGATCACTATCACAGGATAACTGTTGTTAAGAGTGTCAGGATTCCATTCGTTATTTGCATTAATGAGCGAGCAAGCTTCAAGGAGCAATAAAATTCCCGCAAAGTGGCTGACTGTCTTCATCTTGCAATTTCTGCCTACAACTTCTGGAGATGTATGGTGTTTACAGAAGCATTAAATAGCATTTATATATACAACAGTAGAAAGCATAGAAGGGGAAAATAAGCTCTGATAAGCAGGAAATATATTTATAGTTAATACTATTGTGCTCACCGCAAATGAATATAGAGTCGTTCAGCGATAATAATTCAATATTATTATAATTAGAAACTACCAGCAATCAGAAATTACGAATTTTGTTTGTCTCGAGAATTCATTTAGATCTATTGGATTTTATTTTTTGTAGTATTGTAATTGCCCTGAATGATTATGTTATCACATCGTTGATTTTTTAATGGGTGCATTGACCATGTAAACATTACACCAATGCACGTGTCTGATCATATACAGGATGTCAAAAATATTGTTAGCACATTAAGTATACTATTCTGATATTATCAAAGATCATCGATTTTATAGAATTAATATTTAGACGACTGGTTCATAATATAATTAATTTTAATTAATTAATTAATTAATTAATTTTTATTTAATTTTTTTTCATATGTAGATAATTATGGAAAAAGATTTTTACAACAATCACCGATGAGATACTATTAAAGACCGTCAACCCTAGGCAAATTTTCGGTGATTTAAAGAGAGCCCGGAGATAAAGAACACTGACATTATCGATAATTGATATAAATTTGCTGTTACATATATATTAATATATTAACGTAAATATTTGAAATATATAATTATAATATTTGAAATATAATTATAATAAACGTGGTTTATAAATTAAAACTTAACAAGAAAAAGAAGAGCATAAAATCACAGCACAAGATATTCTCTTGTGATATTTAATATATAATTACATTAATAAATAATTTAGTTTTAATAACGTTTTTGGCCACATCAACCACAATCTGGCTATCTTCAGTAAAATTACAAATATAAAACACAGAATTTATATAAATCTAACATTAAATTCAGCGATCAAAAATATAAATATATATAAACGCATTCTTTCCTGCAGAGCTTTCCTCTTGTAAAAGTACATCGTAAAACATCGTGATTGCAGCACCAATTATCATATTGCAAATTATGTAGAACAAGAATTTCCAGATTCTAATTTAAAAAATTATATTATCGTTAATACCTTCTAGTCAATTTGATAAGGATTAACAATTCGTCATGCCAAGTTAATGAGATGCATGAATTGGATTGGGATAATATTAGAATTTTATACACAGAACAATCATAAAAAGAAGAATTTAATTATATTAAATATCACAAAGAATATCTTGTGCTGTGGTTTTACGCTCTTTTTTTTTGTTAAGTTTTAATAAATATTTGGCTCATACATTATTAAATTCATAATTTTTTATTACATAAATGTTCCATAAATAAATATGCATATTTGTAAAGCTATAATATCCTATTGCAGGAAAATTACAATTTTTTTCTCTGCAGTTATCATCTCTGTTAATAATCAAACTTTGACAATAAGTCGACGAGAAAGTCATACGAAATTGATCAATCACAATAAAATGTGAGGAGAATAAATCGACTATGATTGGTCAATTTCTTATGACTTGCTCCGCTTGCTATCTCCATTGTAAACGGTCCTTTATTATGGAACCTATCTTTCATTAGCTAAGTTACCATGAGTAAAATTTGACATTTGATACTTGACATATCATTACACGCCGCAGAATAATACATAGAAATTAGTCGCATCTGCAGTGGCCTCGTTTTTAATTTTCCTTGCAGAGCCATATCTTCCACTCGTTGACATGAATAAATTTCACTGACATCTCGCTCATCATATGTGCGAGATAGTGATCATCTTTAGGAATTATTCAGGAGGAAGACATCTGCGAGACAGATCTTACAATAATCGTTGTTTAACGTCAATTAGTCAGAATACTTCGAGTGTGTACCGAGTACCTCTCAGGTACTCTGTATTCTACTAATTGTACAAATTATCTCTTTATTTCGACTTATGCGAAATGTCGTTCAAAAAGGATCTAAGATTGCTCGTGAAACCGTACTATTTGATAAATATCCTTCTCAGTGTCTCCTACATCATCGCCAAACGCCTTCCTGTAGTCTGTAATTATATATTTGCTCAAGACGGCTGCGAATTCGATGGGGTAAGTGATGCTAATTTGTCGACGATATGATTTTAACCAAGGTTATGCTTACACTTCGAGATCATGTTTACACGAAATTTTTTTGTAATGTTTACATTGTACTACACGAATTTTTTTTCATGTAGACAATATAAGTAACGTATAATATGTTATTATAAGATTATAAATTTGATAATACAATATGGAAAGAAATGATTAAATTTTACAATTACTGATTTAGTAATAATATCTGACTAGTAATAATATCAAAAATGTAAAATAAAAGCCTAATGTAATGATAAAGAATATGATAAGAATGAATGATAAGAATAAGGGTTTTAATAATCCATGGATTATTTGTATAAATGGTATATAAAATAGTTCGAATAGTTTATGTTATACAAGGCTTTTTGATTTGTACAAGTATTACATAGTATATCCTAAAGTTTGATATTACTTTTTATGAACACCCTGTATGTATATACATAGATGTAGATTATTATATTTTATGCATAATACACAATCCTGATTTTAACTCTTGATTATAGCAATAAAGCTTGGTAGGCACCAACGTTAGTTTGACTTAAAACTTTTTTTGTCTCGTTTTAAAACTGAAAAAGAGACAAAGACAAAGAGTTTTAAGCCTCATTTAAAATCAAAATAACGTTGGTGCAATCAAGCCTAAGTCATTTAGACTCAAAGCGAATATTTTTAGTTTATTGTACAATCTGTATGATTGATATCATGAGATTCCAAATTGTAGATAAAACTTAAAACTTTCTTTTATCGTTATAAGACAGAGATTTACTTACGTTTTATATTTTAAACAGGACATTCTAGAACATAGGTTTTCATAGTTGCAGATGAGAATTAACATTTGATTATTTCATTAACAAGTACTCATGTTTTTAGAGGGAGACACAGATTCTCTTTTTCCTCATAACTGTTGTTATGATAAGGACAAGAAAGACTGGCAGCGTGACCATGATAAATTACTTGACGTCCAGTTTCATGTATACGAAAGGAGCAAACTTGATCTTGTGGTTCTACGCGGACGTGCGGATGGGCATTCTATATGCATTTATTTTTATACGTAAGAAAAGACTATGGGCAGGAGCACGATAGACAAAATGTCTGCTAACTTGTTATTGTTTATGGAAAGTCTAATGTATGTAACTGAGCACATGAATATGATAGAATTAATTTTAATTGTTCTCCATAAACAGTACAACAGTTGGCCAACACTTTACCATCGTGAATTATAGATCATTGTGTCATAAGCGATCTAATAACACTTTGTATGCAGTATTTGCATTAGTATTGCCAGAACCAATGTATCAAGGGCCTGAGAACGTCATTTATTTACGTGGAGCCAATGGGCTGCAGGAGGAATTACAACGTGACACCAGAGTGGTTTGGCTAGTGGCGTTTTACACTGCATGGAATCCAGCCTGTGTAACCTTTGCACCGATATTTTCTGAGCTCTCTGCAGAGTAAGTTGATTTAATTAAATATATACTATAGTCTGCAGAATGTTTATTTTACATCTGTTGCAAATTTTCTTTGCTAATTGGATTACCTTTAATTTCTAATTACACGCTATATTTATATTTTATTAAATAAAATATTACTTCTATACAATCTATAAATTGTATAAAGTCTTTAACTTAATTTAATTTAATTTAATTATATATTTGTATTCATAATTTTAATTATTTATTCGATTATTTCTCCTTATAAAATATTAGGTATAACTAATTTCCAAATATTACTATCTTATTCTTCAATTAAACAATCAGGATGAATAATATTATTAATCTATATAAAAAAATATTAAAAAATATACTTTTTAAATATATTTTTAGATCTACAGGATAGTTCTCTATATCAACAAAGAAAATTTCTAGCAAATACAAAATAAACAAAATAAATTCTGCTGAACGTGGCTATATATAATCTAATCTCTTTCTCTTTGTGAGAGAATATTTGATATGTTTACTGACATTAAAAATAATTATGATTTAGATACGCATTGGAGAACTTCAAATTCGGTAAAGTGGATGTTGGAAGACATCCCGATGCTGCGGCAAAATATCATGTCAGTGACGCCAGCACGAGCAAGCAGCTACCAACGCTGATACTTTTTAAAGATGGCAAGGAAGTAGAGCGACGTCCATACGCGGATCATAAAGGGAAACTTGTTAAATTTCTATTCTCGTTGGTATGTCGTCATTCATATTTAATTTGTTAAACTTCTAGCTTATGTAATTCTATCTTATTTATTTGTTTTAATTTTTCAGGACAATATAAAGGCTGCATTTGATCTCAATAATATTTATAATGACTGTAAAAAGAATCCTATCAAGAGAAAAGAAAAGAAGTCATTGAAAGCGGAATAATGAAGTGAAATATTTAGGCATTTAATAAGAACTACAGTTCGTAATTGAGCGAGTTTTAATTAGATAATCTTCTACTATGTAGAAAGTACAACAAGCGCGTTATCTTTATCGAATTCAGATTCTAAATTAATCCTCCGTCAGCAATCATATTTTTACTGTCTTCATCTGTAATCTGAGTCTTTTTCATTCAATTCAACTTTTTTCTAGATTTTTAAAAAAATTTGGAAAAGTTCAGAGCTACTTTTCAGTATCTCTATTACTAAAGTTATATTACCATATAATTTTTTAAGATAGTATACTCGCGACAATATCATCCAAAAGTTTCCCATTGCGCACATTGGCGATACCTCCATTCCCGTTAGTAAGAAAGAATTTTTGATTATGATGTCCAAAGCTACATATACGCGGAAAGAAAATGAATACAGACGCATAGTCGCCTCCTTATGCCAAACAAAATCAAAAATTGCATTACGGTAGAAAATTGACATTTTTTTCACAATATCCGTTTCATGTTCCTTCATCGCATGCTCGTTTTTTTATTAACATATCACTGTTAGTTTAGACCCTGCAAAAATAAACGCGACATTTTTATGAATTTTGTATAGGCGACATGTATAAAAAGTGAGTTTTTAATTGCTTGTATTTATTGAAACGATCAATCTCATTGTAATTGCACATCGTCAAAATCTTCAATCTAATACAATATATAGTTTCAATTTCGAAAAATTCTGACTGAATTCTTTCGCGAGTGTACTACCTTAATTTAAAAAATTATTTAATTCGTCTTTCTTTATTTTGGAGAAATTTGAGAGTGAAATTTTATTTGTGCCTTGTTTCGTTTCGTGTGTATGTACATACATATGTTCAATCATTTATACATATAACATATTATCACTTTATAGTAGCATTATGTATAATGTGTGAATGTGTGCTCTATATATATATATATATATATATAAAATAATATATATTAATATATATAAATATTAATATAAAGTTCAAATATGTACAGAAAACTTGTTACGCGATGCTTGTTGCGTCGTTTTCTTTGAAAATAAGCTTAATATAGTTGTTGAATAAAAGTTGAATAGCACGTACATTCTTCTATTTCTTCTGTATAGAAATATTTAATATATCGGGACCAATTCTGTAACAATTCTGTAACTCTTAACGATAGTTGTTGATGTCATTGCACAGCTTTTTTACTCTACATAATATCTACGCAATGACATCAATGACATCAATGACATAACTATCACGTTAGAGTTATAGAATCGCCCCTAGGCTACAACATTTGCAATTATTTGCATTTGATCATTGCATTAAAATTAAGACGCATTACGTATAATCTTTATAATAAGGAAAAAATTAGAATTACAACAAGAATTTATAACCCCATCTAGATTCTAAATTTTAACCGCCAAATTTGTTGAGAGGGCGTTAGCGCGCAACAAACTTCCGGGATAACTTCCCGGCAAAACTTCCGTATTATTTTATCGATTGTAACTGCACTGAACTACACTTTAGAAACACTGCAGAAAAGTTCCTTTCAGTTCCATAAAGTTCTATTCTGGCTGTTCTAATCGATGTCACGGATTATCAGTGTTATTTGAGGGCTGTGGACACGTGCTCCAACATTTTAGCGTGCCACAGGGCTTTAGGAAGGTCAAAGATATTTTTATTCGCTCGCTCGCTCGCATTTATTTCGTGATGGTCAGTACTAGCTTTGTTTTAGGACCAGTTGCACCAATGTTTTGACTTTAAGCGAGACTTAAAACTCTGTCTCATTTTAAAGCCAAAAAGAGACAAAGACAGAAAGAGTTTTAAATCTCACTTAAAATCAAAATAACGTTGGTGCAATCGATACATTTAAACAGCAGATTAATTGTGATTTTTCCAATAGATGCAAGACAAACATACGCCGCCGTCTCCAGCTAAAGTGGAAGATCTCGTGGATGACGAGATGATTGTAGAAGATGATATTGAAGAGGTTATTGATTTAAATGACCCGATTTTCGAGAGCTCGAGCTCATCGGATGAAAATGAAAATCCACGGACGGAGGATCTTATACAGGAGGATACCGTGGATGATGCCATACGCGTCTTTCGTGGTCATAAGTCTCGTAAGAAAGCTTTTATCTCCACACAAGTTGATTAACATGCAAGGCATTAGATACTTTCTATTTGGTGACACAAGTCGACACAAGTATCATTCTGTCTTTAGATGCTTTCTATTTAGTGGCAGAAATCAAGGCAAACATTAATTGTTTATCATACAAGTGATACTGAATTTAAAGTTATGTATTTCATACTCAGATAATGGCTTATTTACTTTCGCGATAAAGTTATTGTATAACACCAGATTTATAAAAAAAAACCTCACTCTTAATATGAGCTAACAAGACTCAGTAAAGCACACAGTCTTGAGTTTGTGCAGATTTTAAGTAAAAACTCAGTTGAATCTCACTTGTCAGAATTTAAAGGAACGTGCAACTGTTATGATATAATTGAGAATTATCTGAGTTTTGGTATAATGGACAGCAATTGTCATTTTATTTTTGCATTCAATGAGTAACAAAGACAAAATCACACTTGTGTTGACTTGTTACCAGATGAAAAGTATCTTTTATTATTCATGGAAGAGAGAACAAAGTTTCTAAGAAAGAACAAAGTTTTCATTGACTCATGTCACTAATGGTCATTAACTCTCTCTTTAAATTGATTTCAGATCATGCCGTATTTTGCTGCTCATTAAGTAAGAATGGTGACTTAATGGCGACAGGGGGCGAAGATGATAAAGGATACCTCTGGAACACCAATACAGGCGAAGGTATTCTCAGTACTGATGATAGCCATAACGATAGCGTTATATTCTCTGATTTCAATTACAACGACAAATATGTAGTCACAGCCGACATGCGTGGCAAAATAAAATTGTGGCGAATAAGTGACAAAACTTGTGTCTGGGAAACTGCCTTAATGAATGATATTAACGTGAGCATTCTTAGATAATTATTAAAACTTTTTTATAGTTGCACATAAAATAATAAAAATAATAATTTAAATAAATAAATAAATAAAATAATTTAATTACGATTTGATCAACTGAAAAGCATAAACAATAAGGAACAGGAAATAACAGATTTTAATTAGAAACTGTATATTCTAGTATACATAATTTCTGATAAGTTGAAATCTGTTAATTCCTGATTTTATTACCTGTACTTTTCAGTCGTGTCTCAAGAAAAGCGATAATTTAAAAGAAAAAGTAAAAAAAATAAGAAGTACAAAAAATTTAATTTTTAATCTGTATTTCCTTTAAACACAAGCATCTACAATAATTTATTAATAATCTTTTTTTTATTATCTAGTGGATAAAGTGGCATCCTTTCAGTGACATCTTAGTAACAGGTGTTGAAACAGGGGAGGTTTATATGTTGAAAACACGAACAGATGATTGTAAAATCTTTGCACAGGGTAGCGGTATTAAATCAGAGGCTGGTATAATTCTTCCAGATGGTATGTGATAGGAGTATACGCTTAGATATTATTTTTATTCAAGAGAGAACAAAATACTAATTTAAATCTTGCAGGGAAACGCGCCGCAATAGGATATGAAAATGGTATGATTCACGTAATAGATTTAAAATCGAACACTCTAGTATCCACCACTCCTCCTGACCAAACACGATTACATGGACATTCAAGCAATATCATTGCTCTTGATTGTTACATGGATAATAATTTATTGATTTCGGTATCAGTGGAAAGCCAGACTATACTAAGCACAGTACATAATGGCAAGGTACAAGAAATTCTTTATTTTCTCAATATTTTCCTCAATAGGAAGAGTAGTATCATTATATTCATATTTTTTTGCTGTATTTCCTGTACTTGAAAAGAGATGATTTCTGATAAAATTATTGGATTTTATGTTATCCATATAAAGATTAAAATTTTTTGATCGATTATTTAAAATTTTTGCTGACTTGTAGCTTAAACCGATGAACTGCGATTCAAATCGGAGCCTAGAGGCTTCTTCTCAGGCTTATTTTCAATAATTAAATTTAATATGAAATGAAATCAATCTCTATTTATTTACAGAATAATAACTTTTACGAAATTATAATCTGTGTATGAGATGGGAAATCGAGTCCAGAGATCTGTTAATTACGATTATTTATTTTATTGCTCTCGTACAGATCCATACGACATCTCGATTTGTAAGCTTAAAAGTAATTTGATATTGAAATATTTTTCAGGTAATTTGTGTACTTCAAGATTTGCATAGACGTGGCAATAATAATGATCATGTAGAGATTGCGGCTTTTTGTAAAGATCCTACATTCCCTGCTGCTGCAAGTGCAACAGTCACGAGTGAAACTTACGGAAAAATTTACATATGGGATATTTTTAAACAAGTATTATTTTTTATATTTTTATACCTAGAGTTTCTTTTTGAATTAACAAGTTCTAAGTTTCAATCCTCTCCAGAGTCTTAGGCACGAAATGGATCAAGAAGGAGGTGTCACAAAATTAGTTTGGACTAAGGCATCGATATTTTTTACATCGGGATTAGATGGTAAACTAAGATGTTTTGATGCGAGAATAGGTCACTGCCTTCGAATATTCTCAGGGCACAAAGGGGCCTTATATGACGTATGCATATCCAGGTAAACTATTAACAAGCAAATTTGTGTTAATTAATTGCGCGAGAAAAAATAAAACAAAATTATTAATATCAGAAAAAAATTTTGCGGATAGCTTAATTTCGATATATTAGTTCCTATTATATTTGTACGAAGTAAACTTTTCTTATTTAAATTCGAACAGCTATTAAAATGTATATAAAAAAATAACTCGAATTAAATCGTAAATTTTAATAAACGTTTATAGTTTTGTGTAGCAATATTCTCGTGCGATTAAAATTATTTCAATTTTTTGAAAATCATATTTTGAACATCTGGCTTTATTAGAGAATTCTCTGAAATTTTCTGTATAAAATACGATCTCTGTGATATTTAATATGTTTTGTAACTTTTCAGTGATGAGAAGAAAGCAATGACAGTTTCCGACGATGGTACTGCTAGACTTTTTGACATTTCGTCTATACACTGTTAGAAATGTAACCACGAGCTTCCTTTATATGTAAATGAAACTCGTGGTTATGAACGAAATTAAATATAATGACGTGTACATTAAATTTCATAAATTTTCATAAAAAATAAATTAAATTTTATGTATATGTACACAAATATACTTTTTAGTTATAAATATATTGGATGTAGTAAAAAGAAATACATTATTTTTCCAATAGATGGCTTTAATAATTTGTATCTCGTCTACGCGTGATACAGAGTACTAAAGCCATCTATTGGAAAAATAATGGATTTCTTTTTACTACACCTAATATTAAATTTAATGTACTGTCATAAAATTAAGTTCAAATTATGTAAAATTTAATGAAATTTAAGAACATTTCTAAGTGTATGTTAATATGTGATGAGAGAGGTGAAAGTGATGAAAATATTAAAATATAAAAAAACATGTATATAGACGTATATATAAGCATATATATAAATTCATGTATATTTACACAAGTGTGATTTATAAAAAACATACTTTTTTTTAATAAAACTATAAAAAAGGAGAACTTCAAAAAAATATATTCTGACATATGCAGACTAAAAAAGTTTCTTAATATTGTTTAAATATATTATTGAAATCAAGACTGAGCAAATTATTAAATACAAAGTAAATGAACGGGATTTCCCAATTTCAAATTAGGATTAGATTTGATTAGAATAGAATATTTTCGGGTAGAAAATGCAGGGATTTCATTTGTCCGCAGCACTTACAGTAAATGTATATATAATTTTTTGTAGAATTCCTAATCTTATTCAGATTTCAGATCACGCTTGTTTATAAATTCTTTATTAATAACTTTTTTGATGGATGATTGAGGTGACCATTAAAGCTTATTTGAGTAAGTCATTAAAGCTTATTTGAGTAAGCCTCGAGGCTTACGCTTAGGTCATTGAAAAATTCCTTTTTTATAGTTACGCAATGTATTTACGAATTATAAAGAGTTTCGTTGTTTTTATTTTACTATTTATGACAGTTTGTCTCTGTACCATTTGGTATCGAGTTGGTATCGCTCGTCTCTCCACACAAAATGTGTTGGTGCGTTTCCTTCGCCATTTTCAAAGTTGAACGAAGCGCTGAATTCAATAGCTAGATTAGATCTCACTAAACCGATCCCACTCGCTTTCTCTGGTGCAGGATGATACACTCTTCCCGTTTTAATGTTCATAAATAATCTTTGTGGCTCAAACTGCACCTGCGGCAAATTTAATGGTTATTATAGCATCAGTAAAACTCGGTTAAAATTTTACTATGGTTGGATTGTTTCATTTTTCGATTAAGCTTTTAATTTTACTTACTCTCTTACTCGTTTATTTATTAGATAAATTATTACATAGTTTATTCAAAGATAAAACTAATATATAGCTACATATAACTGATTCTGCAGAATTACCATCAATAAGTCATCTGCATGCGCATAACTAAACCAGTCCTCTTCTGCACCAGTTTCCACGTTATGCTTTTGAATCACCTTCGTAAAGACCAATGGCAAATCGTCACATCTCACATAATTTCTCTCTACACCACAAATTGACAAGAATGGAAAGTCGTCTGTGTAACGTTCGGTATTGTTTTTCCTTAGGCGCTTGAAGAAGAATGCCAGAAATTTTTTGTCTGCAACAATTTGCAACACGCATAAAAAAAATACTTTTCAGTTGATAAACATTGATATATACCTTTAAAGCAGGAGGTAAAATTCCTTATGCGGACATCATCCAGGAACAACTGTGACAAACATAAATAATTATTTAGAAATTATTTAGAAAAAAATATAATATATAGAAATTCTGAAAAATGTTGAAATTCACTTTAAAATTCTGAAAAATTATGAAAAAAATCTGAGAAAATGTTTCATCAGTGAAAAACTGAAGCTTCAATAGATAAAATGAAAAATACCATGCCTTGATGATCAATATAATAGAAGTATTCTCGCACACGAGGTTCAGGGGATTGACCTTGTATGTATGTCACATAACTTCTCCCAAGAATATTGGGTAAAAGAAATGTTCGGCTTACAACAAAGCCAGTTCGCATACAAAATATCGACGTCATTTTGTTAAATTTGAATTCAACAATAATCACGATATAACCTAAAATTTCGAACTCTAATCCTCTTTTTCTCTCTTAAAGTAGATCTATTAATATAGAAGAAAAATAATATAGAAATAATTTGTTAGAAAAAAATTATTCTTATATGTAAACAGGTTCATAATTTATTACCTAAAAAACTGCGTTTGATTATATCACAACTTTAATATCACACTGTCATAAATATATCAATTATATATATGTATACACATGATACATAAATTATATTCCTTTATGCATATAGACATTAATAATACAATAAGAATTTACGCAAGCATTAAACATCAATCTCTCTTGTAAGTTTCACCGGTCAACATGACAAGTGGATCATAATTTCAAGCTTCCTTCTTTTTATCGGCATATTTCACATCTTTAATATTAATGTAAAAAATGTAAAACAGTTAGAATGGCCAAAGCAAGTATAAGTAACACTCCAACTATTAAAAAAAAAATGTTGACATCTTTCTCAGGTTGTTCTGACATTCGCACGCGTGTCCTTATTGCGAATTGTTTGTATAGTTGTCTCGTGGGCCTCTCAACAGTTTCTTCAGACATTTGGTTTTCTAACAGAGCCAATTTAAGATTTTAACAGTTTTGAATTTCAACTTGCCAACAATCGATATAACAACCAGTGATGTCATTATCCAGCTATAATTGTTTATGGGTTTTGAGTTACGCATGAAGCGTATGATCCATGTCCTTGTTTTCTTCTTCTTATTCCCCTATTTGGTTTTCCGATCTAAAAAAAGATCACAGTATCCTGCGTTGAATTTGGATCAAATTCCTGTGATAACCTCTGTAGGGAACCTCTGCTAGAGACTTCACTTTTTCTCAATTATAAATATATCTTTATTGTCGACGAGATACTGGATGCTTTCCATTTGGTAACACAACCGATACAAGTCAACATAAGTGTCTGTCTTTCTATCTTTGTCACTCTCTGAATGTGAAAACAAGGATAGAACGACACTCGTGTCAACTTGTGTCGACTTGTCATCAAATCCACCGACGAAATACTAATAAAGACTGTCAATCCTCGGCAAATTTTCGGCGGTATAAAAAGGGCCCGGAGGTAATTAAAAAACGCTGACATTATCAAACAATTGATATAAATTTACTATTATTAACATAAATTATATTTGGCTCATATATTATTAAATTCATGATTATTTATTAGATAAATGTTTCATAAATCAAGGATGCAAACTCCCGTAAGGATGTCGATCTTTAATAGTATCTCGTCATTCTCGTCAGTGTCAAATGGAAAGCATCCACTATCAGTCATGCAAGCGAGAACAGCCAAAGCTCTGGTAAGTTTTTATCCTCACTAAAAGGGCCCCCGAGGGCCCGGAAGTAATTAAAGAACGCCGACATTATCGACATTAATTACTAGATCGATAACAGTAAATCCTAATGTTATTAGCACTTATCAGTAATAGATTAAACATTTATTTTATCAGCGATAGATAACGCGATTACCGCCATCTAACGAGGAAACGTAACCGCGACCTCGCGACCTGTACGCCGCGTCACAGATACATTGTCAGACGAACGGAACAGAGTGGAGCGAGAGAAAGAGAGACAGAGAGATAGTGACAGGTTCGTGAGATGAGATACGAGACGGTAGCGAGGAGAAGGTGGCACTGGCAGTTTCTCGAGTGAGAGAGAAGCGATCTGTTTTCCGCGCTCTCGGGACAGCGTCGCGTTTCTTTTTTTCTACGTTCTCCCCGGCGGGGAGCGACGACGCGACGCTACACTACGTGACGCCTCGCGACGCCACGCGCCGCGGTGCCCGGTCGCCGAAGAAAGAGGAGAGACCGCGAGTAGAGTGGAGGCTGTTACCGTTTGCTGCTGGTAAACATGTTACGTTCGCGCAGCGGCACGAACAGCGAGAGGAGATCGTACGTCGTGCGCCAACCGGGACCACGGACCACCGTCGCTGCCAAATAAGTCCGCGCGCGCGGCACGAACATGGCCTCGTCTACGAGGAGGTCCTGGAAGCTCCGTAAGATCATCCTTGTTCATAAGAATATGAATATCCTGGCGCGCGCGAGCGCGCCATGCGCTCTCTCACGCTCTCTCTTTCCCGCTGTATCGCTCCTCTTCTTTCTTTTTTTCCCTCCTCCGCGAAAATCCTGCTTTTCCGCGAGATCTCCGCAGGTAAACAGTCTCTGTTTACTTTCTCACTTCAGCTGCTACCTCGCAGTTTCTTCCAATTATGGTTACATCTGGCACAAACCAGGAATTTGTCCCGCGGCGAGAATGAGAAGTCGTTTTCGCGCAAACGGTAGCAGAAACTGGATTATAATGGACGGAGATTTTCCGCCTGTTTTTACGGATGAACAGTTTATATTGGAGGAATGACAGTTCTATTTTTTTTAAATAAGACAAGGATATTGAATAATTGACTAGAGATTTATTTGATGCTTGTAAAACTATAGGCATGAAACTTCAATGTTCAACTTTTGTTCCTCCTTTAAGTAACTTCCCATTCTTAGATAAATGCCACAAGTCATCAATAAGTTAATTTTAATTTTAGTTAAAAATATTTGAAACAGAATAAATATATATTTATGTATAGATAAATATAGAGATTATTTAAATTGTGAAAAATTTTTTTAATACATTAGTTTATTTTTACTTATCAATGGAAATGAGCTGATCTTTTTAATTTTTCAATCTAAATCTGTAATCTCTATTTATATATTTTGTTCCAACTCATCATTTTTGATTATGTGATCAGGACTTATTGATTTGTGACCTTTAGCCTAAGAATGAGAAATTATTTATTAGAGGAACAGAGGTTGACATTGTGTGTGAATTTTCATGCCCGTAGTTTCATAGTAAATGAATCTCTCAGAAGTCAAATTTATCAATTCCATGAAATTAGAAGTGGAAAAAATTGATAAGAAGTTATAAACTGTTTGGATAATAAAACTAAGAAATTTACAAGAAGTATAATTAATGAGTTTGACTTCTGAGAGGTTCAGATGATTCTTATTTATCAAATAAATAGATTGATTTTTCTCCAATATGAAAAAAGAAATTTATATAATCCTTGTATGTTCATAAGTAAATCAATCTAAACAAAAATTATTCATGCTATAAAATCTTTTATATTGTATCTCTCTTGCATCACATTAACATGAATAAATCAGTACATGAAATGTATATCTCTTCTTTTTTTTGGCACAGAGGAATTCGTCGCCCATACGCCAAACGTCAATTGCTTGGCGTTGGGCCACAAATCGGGTCGTGTTCTGGTCACAGGCGGTGACGACAAAAAGGTGAATCTATGGGCCGTCGGAAAGCAGAATTGTATTATGGTAATTGTTGTGCAACAGTTCCGTTATCTTTATCCAGTTCAAGATTAAATGATGATTTGTACAACAAATATTTACCTTTATTTCATTTTTTTTTCTGTTTCAATAACATACTACATGAGAGAACAATGAACACTACATTGTATCTCAAACATTGTTATTAAATTTAAATTTATTAAAATTATATAATAAGAGAGAGCCATAAATACTAAATTATATCTTAAATGTTGTTATTGAATTTAAATTTGTTAAAATTACATGAGATTTATGTTCACTTATTTTCAGAGCCTAAGTGGCCACACTACTCCTATAGAATGCGTACGTTTCGGCCAAACGGAAGATCTTGTATGCGCTGGCTCACAGACGGGCGCGTTGAAGATTTGGGACTTGGAGCATGCTAAGCTGGCGCGCACGCTGACGGGACACAAATCCGGGATACGTTGCATGGACTTCCATCCTTATGGGGAGCTGTTAGCGTCTGGGAGTTTGGATACGGCGATTAAATTGTGGGATATTCGTAGGAAAGGCTGTATTTTTACGTATAAAGGGCACAACAGAATTGTGAATAGTTTAAAATTCAGTCCTGATGGACAATGGATCGCTAGTGCTGGGGAGGAAGGAATGGTTAAGGTGAGTCATAAATATTATATTCCAGAAAAATGTATTTTTATCATGTCTTATCTTGCCTTGTTATCATCTCATATATTGTATAACATGATTTTCATTCTTTTCTATATTATTTTATGTGAGACAAAAGACATTGACTTTTATGTTATTTTTAAATTAGCTGTGGGACCTAAAGGCTGGTAGACAACTAAGGGAATTTTCAGAACATAGAGGTCCGGCCACAACCGTCGAGTTTCATCCACATGAATTCCTATTAGCCAGCGGCAGCGCCGATAGAACTGTCCATTTCTGGGACTTAGAATCGTTTCAGCTTGTATCTTCCACGGAACAGAGTCATTCTTCGGCCATTCGGTGAGAAAAACAATAATCTTACAATGCAATTTCTTAATCACGCTAATTTGTTTTGTTAATGCGTTATTTCAGATGCCTATACTTTAGTCAAGGCGGAGAATGTCTCTTTGCTGGTAGCCATGACGTTTTAAAGGTTTACGGCTGGGAGCCAGGCAGGACCTTGGATACGATACCGACTAACTGGGGAAAAGTCCAGGATATAGCCATAGCTCAAAACCAATTGGTAGAACAAAATGCTAGATTTTGAACTCTTGAATATGTACATTCGATGTCGTTTTTACTAAGACAGGAAATTTTTTCAGATCGGCGCGAGTCTTCATACCGCAAATGTTGCTCTATATATATGTGATTTAAAAAAAATTGCACCACTGGGAGGAATATCTGCCGTGAGTTCACCATTTAGTCATGGAAATTCCTTGAGGAAGAGTTTTTCCAAAGAACGACCGATCGGATTGAAGAAGCATACGTACGTTTTTGCCTTATGAAGTTTAATTTTAACCACAAGTTTTACATCAATTGATCATCGTAACACATATTTATATGCGCTTGCAGATTGGATGTACGAACAATAGAAGAGGCGGATAAATCCGGTACCGATCCAGAGGACGAGGCCACCTATGCGGACATACCCAGCGTAACCGAGTACAGGGACGTTTTTCAACCGAGCAGGGCGTGTAAGTGATTTGTTACATCCGCCTTGTAATGTCTCATTGTTCACCGAGTGTGTGCGCGCGTGTATGACAAAAATTCTAGACTAATATCTAACCCAATCCCTCGCGATCACTAGCGAACACACACACAATATGTCAAACACGTTTAAATGTGAATGCAAACGCTGTACAGTTTGTGAATGAGCATGCCGTGCATGATATGTTGCAGTGTCTCGCACACCACCTCCCGAAACC